CCCCTGTATGCCAGCACCTGCTCTGTGTAGGGTGGGGATGCCGCCTTAGGGAAAGGAGATGGGATATTGAAAATTTAGAGAAAAGCAAATGATGAAGAAAATGGAGAAGATAAATGGGATGATGAAGAGAAAATGGAGAAGATAAATAGGATGATGAAGAAAATGGAGAAGATAAATGGGGAATGATGAAGAAAATGGAGAAGATAAATGGATGATGAAGAAAATGGAGAAGATAAATGGGATGAGAAGAAATGGAGAAGATAAATGGGATTGGGGGGATGAAGAAAAAGGAGAACAGATTAAGATGGGATGGATGAAGAAAAGAAAATGGAGAAGATAAATGGGATGATGAAGAAAATGGAGAAGATAAATGGGATGAGAAGAGAACATGGAGAAGATAAATGGGATGTAGGAAGAAAATGGAAGAAGATTAAATGGGATGATGAAAGAATGGAGAAGACAAATAGGATGATGAAGAGAATGAATACGAGAAATTTAAATTGCACAGAGGAGACCCTTTTTTAACTTATTTTTATTCATCATTCATTTTACCTTAGTTTTATTCATTATCATTTTTTTCGCAGGTGCCCTAGTGTAAGAGGATTCCGATCCGAAGAAGAAGAAGAAGCTGAAGATCATCCACACGCTGGTTCAGCTCGGGACCTTTCATCTTCTCTGTGGTCGGGATCGTCGGCCGTGTGTGTCGACTTCCACAATGCACTTGGGCATTCCCAATATGTACAGTCTGCACTCGTGGGTCGGTCTGTGTGTGGTTATCCTGTTTGCCTGCCAGGTGAGCTTTTCGTTGTCTTGTGTTTGGTCTTTGTTTGGTCGCGTGGGGTGGTTATTTTAGAAGGACGCAACATTGTATCACAAAAGATGGGTAGTGTAGTGGAGTTATTGTATATAATGCTTATTAATTAGTTTTTTTTGCAGGTATTTTACAGTATAGCATAAATTTAAGCTTGCCTACATGTATATATAAAATACATACATACACATACATACTTGCAGATATACATATACTGTATAAAAATGACAGATAAAACAAATCACATAGACATAGCTGTCATTAAAAACTATTAGAAAAATACATGAAATAAATCGATCAAGGAAAAAGAAGTTTTTAATACAAAGTTGTTTCAAATTTCTCTTAAGGAATAGCCATCTTTAAAAGAACTAGCAGTTAGATGGAATAGAACATACTCAGAAGTGAAAAGTGGAGGTCAGACGGTGGCGACGTTCGAGCTCCTTTCGGTTATTGTACTGCTGTTCTTGCTGCTGGTTGTTTGTCATTATGAGGATGGATGATGATGATGATGATGATTGATGATGATTAATAAAAAAAATATTAATATTATATATTTTTGTAATTAAACCATTGTCGCAGGGGATGGCATGTACGTACATTGCCATGCCCACTGTGAGCCGACTTGTTCGATTGTTTTTACACCATAGATGGCTACACTTGTGCTAAGTATCCAATGACCCAATTACGAGTCTGCCTGTCCGCCCGTTCACCTTTTTCATTGATTTACGAAAATATTTAACGTTATCCTAATTTGCTGTTAAACATAACACCATCTACTTTTTAGCACTAGTAAAAATACGTTTTTTTTCCTGCCAATTCAAGGGAAAGGTGAAATCAGGACTAGCAGAGCCATCTATGTACAGAGTTAGTTCACAAAAATATAAAAGATGAGTACTGGCATTTCCCCCATTTTTTGTTCATTTCCCCGGCGGCAATCGGGTTAAGGAACATGATAATAAATGTTGGTCTTATTGAATGAGGATTATTACTTTTAATTTTGATAATGTCATATATATATAATATATAATATATATATATATATTTATGTATTCATATATATAATATATATATATATATTATAATATATATACATGTTTTATTTTTTTTTCTTCTATTTATTTGTCTATATGTTGGTTTCAAAATGTTTCACCATTCTAGAGTAGACTCTATCAGGATACTTGCTTCTAATTGGTTTGAATATATATATCGTATATAGACATATATATATTGTAGGAAAAAGTTTTGTTTGCTAACAAAATTATTACTCCAAAAGGTTTTTTTATCTTTGAAGTAACATAATATCAGGTGAACATTCCCTGAAACAAGAGGCAGTGCATAGAAATATAATATTTTACCTCTGTTTCAAGAAATGTTCACCTGGATATTATGTTACTTCAAAGATAAACTGTAGTAAAATTTTATTTGCCAAACAAAACTTTACACAAGCTAATCTCTTGAAAGTAACAATACATACAAGACCTTGGTAAAGAAGCTGAAAAAAGTAGTCAAAGGTATTGCTACATAAACATAGAGTATATGCATCTGTTTTGCTGTAGCCAAGGGATGCAGTACATAAAGAATCCACACTGTAAAGTTTATAGTTTATGAATTTTTTTAGCATTTGAATATTGTACAACATTACAAGTATTCTCTTTCAGTGGTCCTGTCGGGCCTTCTGACGTTCCTTTTCCCAGGCTTGCCGACCCTCTGTTAGGTCTGCTTCCTTGCCGTTGTACATCAGTTTTTTGGACTTGCAATATTTATTGGTTCTGTAGCTTCATGCCTTTTAGGCTTGACAGAAAAAGGCATTCTTTTCGATGTAAGTATTTATCTTTGAAACTAATTAGTGTTAGCTTTATTATTTATTTATTTATTTATTGATTTATTTTTTTTTTTGGCAGTTGTAATGATAAAACCACTAGATATTCATAGTTAATGTAACAAGTATAATTCTTGCTGTAATAGTAGACATACACATAAAAATCCACACTTATGTTTAAAGGCCCTTCTATTTTCCAGGCAAACTCGAAATCAAATGGTTACAACACTTACCACCTGAGGCATCTTAATGAATGTTTATCGGCATTTTGTGATTTCTTCGCGCGAGTAGTGGTCTATCTGATGTCCAACTCGCCATTTCCGCCGGCAGACTTCTGAAGATGAGTGTGTTGATTCACAGATACTGTCCTTGAGTAAACTGAGCTTTCACAAGTCTTATAAAAGGGCATATATTGGGTAAGCTTATTCTGTAGGTTAGAGTTACGGTGATCATACCAGTATCGCAAAGTATTCAGATTTTGGGGTCATATAGGTAGGTTGTTTTGGGCTTTGGGAGGCGTCATATATATATCTCATTTCAGAATATAGCAAAAATGGAATATGATTACGATTCAACTTCGAATGGTGTAATCAGCGAAGAAATAGGAACAATATATTGTTTTGTAAGGTGTTTATTTTTTACATTAGTAAAGCTCATACAATACTTAACAGGAAGTAGAATATAGTGTTAGACATTATTTTGCCAAATAACTTTATCCATCTTATTTTGAATGCGCAGAAATAAAGAAGAGATAAACAGACTTTAATAGTAGAGATGTAGAGATTATATATAGTTATATATATAGATATATATATATATAATATATATATATATATAATATTATAATATCTAAATATACATTATACATATACATATACATATACATATTACCATATACATAGACATCTACATATACATAGACACCTATACAGATACATACAAAATACACACATACACACATACACACTACACACATACAAATACACAAATACACACATCACACATACACACATACACACATACAACACATACACATCATACCCCATAAATATTATATTATATTATCAGATATTATATATATATATATATATATATATATTATTATATATATATAATATTACACACACATACATACATATATATAGATATACCACAAACACATACATACATATAGATTAATATATACATACATACATGTTATATACATATACCTACATAAGACATGTATAACATATACATACATACAAATGTATATACATATACATATACATACATACATGTATATAACATATACATACATACATATACATACATACATATACATACATAATATAACATACATTACATATATACTACATGAATAACTAAAGAACATATCATTACATACATATAACATACATCTACATACCTATACATACATATAAATACATATACATACATAAATATACCATGGCATACAACCTATACATGATACATACATACATACATGCCTACATACATAACACATCCATAATACATACTACATACATACATATACACATACATTCATCACCATACATTACACATACATTCTATACCATACATATACACCATTACATTCATACATACATATAACATACATACATTGTAGACAATACATATAACAGTATACCTATACAGTACATACACATACAGTGAAAACTATATTGTCAGTTACTGAATTCTAATATTGCTCACTGGCCAGTGTGACATATATCTATATATATATTATATATTATTATATATATATATATATATATATATATATATAATATATTATATATATATATATTATGGAGTTTTTAGTTTTGTTTTTCTCTCCTCCTGTCTTCAAACCATTAAATTCTCAATTTTGTGATCACTAAGGTTCTTGTACATATCATTTTGTTGTGTTTGACAATTTCTTTTTCAGATTAATTAATAGTCTATTCAGTGTCTCTTGTTTTATCTTTCTGTTGTTACTTAAGTTTTCTGGTAGTTTTGTTGTTGTTTTAAGTTCTCTGTTCATTTGGTGCTTTCAACATAGTTTACAGTATTAAAGGGTCTTGTCTCTTGTACTTTTGTATTGTCTTATTAATTCAAGTACCTTTGTCATGATCATTTTTGTATAATTTGGCAAAGAGACGAGCGCTTTGATATCAATAAGAGGATCAGCAAACTCCTAGTAATTATATTTTTATATGGAAAATTAGCTGATTTTATTTTGGCATTAGAAGAAAAGAAAAAAAAAATTACATAAACAAACGATACTAAAACTAGCTGCAATGACAGAAGATATAATAACAGAAGGGTGGGGAGACATAGAAGATATTTGAAAATGTTTTTTTAAATGTGTTTCAGTACTTGACTGTGTGTGTTGTACTGACATCTGCATTGGAGCAGGAGAAACTGCTGCCCTCCATTTTTCAGTATGTAGTATTATGCTTTTAATAATAAACTTTTTGGGAGTGTATATTGCCATCCGTATCATCATTATTATTATTTCTATAACTGTGGCTGTTTTTATTATTATGGCTACTTCTTGTAATACTAGCTATCATCTACTACTACTACTACTGTTATTAGTATTACTGTATCATATTATTAGGAAATATGGTTGGTCTAATATTTTCTATGCAGTGTGGTTTCCCACTTTGTGTTGATTGAGAAAGTTTTTAATTTTCTTATGCCAAGTATATTTAGTATTGTGTAAGTAAAAATTCATAAAAAGCTTATTATACATGACCAGTCTTGAGGGAAACTGTATGAGAGGCCATAGTTTTAAATAATCAGTTAAGTGAAAGACGTAAAGATTGTTGCTGCTATTATGAATGAAAAAAGTGTAGAAAAAAAAATCCTCATCCTCCTTCAATGAATAATCACCGTAAATGTTAAGTAGGGACAGTAACTAATTATGGAAAGTGAATGCATTTTCCGGGGATTTTTCTCCAAATATGGAAGCAGGTATCCAGCCTTTGCTTTCTATTTAATTTCATATCACAAACTGAATGTAGTTCTGCATATCATTTTAAAGAGATTGGATATATGAATAAAACACACAATGTTATGTCAGTAGCAAATTTTTGTAAACTTAATGTTACTTAACTAACCATCTTTTTTAGACAGGCTACTATAAAGGCATTATTATTAGTCATGTAGTGAGTAAAATACAGTTACTAGATTGTAATTTAAAACTATATTTTAATTTTAAAAGAAACCGTCTTTCAGCTGTATTTTTGGGAACAATGTGAGTGTTGGGTTAACAAAACGTTATTACATAAAAGAATAATGTGAAGTATGAATAGAAAAGGTATATGTGCCTAAAGTATATTTTAAAGGTTGTAGTTTGTCATTATACATGAAGGTCACATGCAAAAGATGACATTTTATAAGTAATGTTAGTTCCGTTCATTATTATGTCCTATTGTGATTCATTACTAACTTTTTCCATTGTGTGTTGTATTTTTGTCTTTCCTTTTAAAGTTATATATTCGAAATACATAGAAGTTATCTTAATTCTCATAGATGTTCAATATTATATGTGCAGCCCTTAAAGTATATGTTGATTCAAAGAGTATATTATTCAAAACCTTCCCAATGAAAAAAAAAGATTTTATATATTCATGAGTGCACATCACAAATACACACACACACGCACAAATACACACACACAAATACAGACACATGCACAAATACACACACACACATGCACAAATACACTCACACACACATGCACAAATACACTCACACACACATGCACAAATACACTCACACACACACGCACAAATACACTCTCACACACACACTCTCACACACACACACACACACACTCTCACTCACTCACTCACTCACTCTCACTCACTCACTCACTCACTCTCACTCTCTCTCTCTACTCTCTCTCTCTCCTCTCTCTCTCTCTCTCTCTCTCTCTCTCTCTCTCTATCTCACCCACACAACACCACACACACCACACACACACACACACACACACACACACACACACACAACACACCACACACACACACACATGCACAAATACACACATACATTACATGCACAAATACACACAATAACCTACAGCACAAATACCCACATACATACAATGCACAAATACACACATACATACATGCACAAATACACACACATACATGGCCACAAAAACACACATACATACATGCACAAATACACACATACATACATGCACAAATACCCACACACATACATAACATGCACAAATACACACATACAACATGGACCACAAAATTACACACATCATGCACAAATACACACATACATGCACAAATACACACATACATGCACAAATCACACATACATCTGCACACACACACACATACATGGCACAAATACACACAATACATTGCACAAATACAAACACTACATGCACAAATAACAATACATGCACAAACACCACACATACATGCACAAACACACACATACATGCACAAACACAACACATACATGCCACACAATCACACATAACATGCCACAAATTTTCACACACACACATATGCACGTATGTGCACCAAGCACATGTGGCCCACGCACAAACGTGCACAAGTATGAACACACACACACAGTGCACACACACACAGAGGGAGAGGAGGGTTATCCAATGCAAAAGGAAGAAAGGAGTAGGTAAACATGGAGCAGAAGCAAAAGTAGGAAGTAGGGAATTGGGGATAGTTGGTGATGGAAAATGGTGGAATCGAGCATAACACCAGAGACAGAGAAGGGTATGGTGTTCGAGACAGAGATTCAGATGTACAGGCCCTCAACTGGAGAGGAGTGGAAGGCACCCAGGGCTAAGCGAAGTACCAAGGGTGGATTGTATCAAAAAATGGGTAAGGAGGGGGGTTAAGGCAGAGAGAATGGCATCCGATACTCAAGAGGCAGAGGATGAAGGTAACTGAAAATGGGGAAGAAGAGTTTTGTGACCTGAGCCTCAAGGATATATGGGACAGAGCAGAGTTTGTAAGATTTTGGAGACAGCAACAAGCTTTTTCTTAAATGTAAAAGACGATGGTCTAGCCAGGACAATTTGGAGTCAAAATAATGCCAAGGATTTAAGCCAGAGGAACTGTAATGGCTGGAGATAGTGCCATATAAGAAGAGTGGAGGTGGGGGCCTACACATGCATGAGAGGAAAAGGCAGGGAGGAAGATTTGGAGGTAGAAAAGTGGAAGCCATGGTTTGTGCCAGGAAAGGTACTGATGATATTGCAGAATGAGGAATTGGCAGAGATTGTATGGATATGCAGGAGAAGATGGTTTAAATCATCAACATTATAGGATATCGGGCTCCTGGTGAAGAAATAAGGACA